TGGTAGGGAGCCTGGGAGGAGAGACCCCTTTGCTTAAAGCCCACCTGGTCCGAATTTCAAAGTCCCTTGAACAAACCTGGAGGGGGATGTGAAGAAGCAGGCAGAAAAGCACTTCCATACTGACGGGTCAGACCCTGAGCCTGTTTCCCCACTGAGTTACTCTGTCATTTTCCCAAATGTGCATCCTAAAAGGAGGCCCCCACTGTCCCTTTCAAGACAGAGTCTTCTACGTGGTGAGAAAACGGCCGTTTTCTGTCTACAATAAGATCACAGCAGGACACATACATAGAAATGGCTTTTTATTTTATTTTGATAAGATGGAAAAGACCCCAGCACAGCTTCAATCAAAGCTAACGATTTTCCTGGCAGTTCATYGGGTAGTTTTATTAAAGTAGATTTGCTTAAACTAAGAGGGAAAAAAAAAAGGTCTCACTGACCCTTGAAATTAAGGCAAAGGTGCTGGTAAGGAAAGTCACCACTGAGTGTCGCCCTCCSGCCCTCCAAGACCCAGGGCAGGGAAGGGCAGCCGACCCGYGAGGAGCRCTGGTGTCCCTGCACAAGTCTCACTGGCCGGTCTGCGCGGCCCGCTGCCAGCTGCTCAGGTTCTGTGCAGAGCCCCAGGGCTCCARGGCTCCAGGGCTCCAGGCGCAGTGCGTTGAGGTAGCGGTCTTTGCATTTTGCAGACGTTCCTGTGGGTGCCCTTTGACCACGGGTGGACGTCCCCGCAGGAAACTTCTGGTCTCGCTGCCCTGCTAGGAATGCCCTCCCCAGGCCCCCAGTCTGCATCCTGCCCCAGACTCTAGGGTTTCAAATCCAGGGGGGGTGCTTTCTTCATCCACGGGCTGTTTAGGTYTCAACTGGCCGCTGAGTGTCAGGAAGGAGTACCTCAGGCCACCCGCCATGCTGGAGGAGAAACAGTGAATACTGAAAGCTGGGAAACCAAGGTGCTGCACCAGCGGTCGCTGACACTCTTACAGACAGAGTGAGCTTGATTTGGAGGACTTTACTCGGATCTGGGGGGCGAGGGGGGGCTTCCTTGAGTTTGTGGATTCCTTGATGAGAATTTCTCCTCTTATTTACAAATCTTTGGTAGCAGGGAGTGGGGGGTCGGGGGTCTGATCTGACAGAGAACATCAGAAACAAAATATATGTTGGTTTTTTTTAATAAATAAACTACATTCCCTACGTTCCATTATCCTAAGCCAACAGCCCCCGTGCCTGGCCCAAAATACCCTTCAAAGGCAGCTAGTAAACTCTCACAGCACCTTGTGAAGTACGACACTTTGAAGGCACAAGCTCATGAAGCCACGGGGCAGGAGGAAGACAGGTCACTTAGGAGGACACGTGAATCAAATTCAGATCCTGGCCAGGGGAATTTTTACGACATATGTCCCCGTGAATCCACACAAGGGATTACATCATAAAAATAGAGGAACTGGGGATGGGGGGTATAGCTCAGTGGTAGAGCATTTGTCTGCCCCGTGAAGGAGGTTCTGGGTCTGATCAGCAGGGGAGAGGGAGGGGGAGAGGGGGAGAGAGAGGGGGAGGGGGAGAGAGAGAGAGAGAGAGAGAGAGAAGAAGAAGAAGGAGGAGGAGGAGGAGGAGGAGGAGGAGG